CCGTTGGGAAGGGTTGGGAAGGGGAACGGCCAAAAAAACGGCCCTCACGCCGCGTCAAACGAATGACGCAGCGCTCCTCACGCCCGTTTCACGCCGGCGGGGGCGGTGTTTCACGCCCCCGGGGCGTTAAACGCCCCGTAACGCCGGTGGGCGTGAGGAGCATTACCAGTGCTCTAAGTGTCATGGATAATACTCATATTTAAAAATGCCATGCATTCAATAGCACTCTAGATAGGATGCATACCCAACAAATTAAATTGTCTAATCCGTAATTTGCATCGTTCCAAAACAAAGATGCGCTCACGTACATAAATATGCACTCCAAACATTTCAAAACTATTGCATTGTTCCAAAACACAAGATGCATTGCATCCAAAAATCAACATTTTTCTTTTATAGTAGAATTTACATTTTTTGATCATAAATCGAAAACATTGTTCTCTACTACGCAGATATACATTGTCATAAATAAAAGTTGACCTCCATCTATCGATCTCTATCATATTTGTAGTCGTCTCGAATACTTTGAACACTTATGTTGTTGCCCTTCATGATTCTGATACTCATACGCCAATGCCTCTCTAGACTAAAAGACTCTTCAAATTTTAAGTGAATAACTCCAGTGAAATGGATACCAACGCCTTCTCTCTTTTCTTTTTTACTATTTCTCTTTTTTCTTTTCTTTTTTCATAAATGTTTAAAAGTTATTTCTTAAAATTATATTTTATAATGTTTTAAAACATAAATGTGGTTGGTGTTCAAAATAAAAAAATGAAAAAAAACATATACTTCACTTGCCTCATATTAAATATTTTCATTTTTTATCTAAAAAAGTATATTTTTTTAATCTATTGGACTAAATCAATGCAGCCTAAGGTCTCTTTTTGAGCTGATACCCAACTAAAATGTTCCCTTTTTATAAAAGTATTTTTCATATGTTTTTCTATTTTCTTATGTATTTTTTATTTTATTCTAATTTTGATTAAAATAAAAAAAGTTATATTAAAAAAATTTAAAAACATCTAGGTAGTATGAAAAGAATATGCAAAAAAAGAGAAACGGAAAAGAAAAACAAAAACGAAAAATGAACAATAAATAATAAGAAATGAAAATATAAGAAAAAATAATTGGAAAAGGAAACTAAAAGAAGAAAAGATACAAAAAAGTTTTTTTGTAGAAAAGTGAAAACGAAATCTTGAAAGAAATATGTTGGGCATCTGTCAAAAAAGCTCTCTCTATATTTTTGGCCCAATGGATTAAATGAAAATAATTTTTTTGGATAAAAATAAAAATGTTTATTTTTAGGCAATTGATGTATACATTAATACTTTTGATCTCATTGATTTTTTATTTCAATCAAAGAAATATTTATTAATTTTTAAAACATTATTTAAAAAAATTAAAATTTTAAAAAAGAACTTAAAAATATTTATGAAAAAAAGAAGAAAAAAAAAAAGCAAAACCATAAAGAATAAAAGGTAGGTGCGTCGATATCAATTTTTAAGACTAACGGGGCAACGAAATTATTCACCTGTTATTTGGAGGATATTTCACTCTAGTGCGTATTAGTGTAGAAATATCAAAAGCAAAGAGGAGGAACGGCCTAAGGTCATATCCTCTTCACCTAATCTGATTAGTTTTAATTTTTATTTGAATAAAGGGAAAGACTAAATTAGGAGTAAAATATTGAAAATATACCAAAATATGAGTTCCATTATTTATTCCCGAAATAAGAGTTAAAATGTATTTACATTAGTAATCATAACCATGTTTATTGCCAAAAAGTATAGTAAAATGTCCATATACAGTGTCACATTACCACATTGGAAATTCTTATTTAGGTATAAAAACATAGAACTCTTATTTTGATACTTTCTCTATGTTCTACTTCTGTTTAGGGCGATTTGTTTTGAATAAATTCTAATCTGATATGATTGTAATTATGTTTAAAATTATTTCTGGTTTGGTCTGATTTGATATGATTCCAATGAGAATAAGTAATACTCCCTCTGATCCTAAAAATCTTTCATGTTTTGATTTTTATTTGTCAAACCGTGACACTCTTTGACCATAAATTATGAGAAAATTATATTTAATTATAATATAACTTCAATATAATTGGCTTCATCTTAGGATATAGTTTTGATATATCATATTTTATTTAGATTATGTTTAATTTATGGTCAAATAATGTCTCTATTTGACCAAAAAAATCAAAACATGAAAATTTTTTAAGAACAGAACAAGTATGTAATAAGAAGAAATTGAGGAAAATATAGCCTCAAATTTCAAAACACGGGATAACGATACACATTTATCAAAGTACATAGGACATATGTGCCCCCACCAACACTTTCTCTATAAATAGTGCCATTTTCAGCCAAATTTTCCACAAGCGATCTGGTAATTAATTAAGCAGGTTTGAGAGAGATGGAAAAGTTTAACAATAATTATATCAGTTTTTCTTGTTTGGTGTTCTCTTTGTTGCTTTCTTCCCAGCTTCTCAATGCTCAAACAGCCCAAAATAATCCTATTTTATCACCAGCTTCTGGTTTTGTTGAAGTCAGACCAAGTAATTAATTAATTAGTTCTTCAGCTATTATTAGATTAAAAACAGTAAGTTATTTATTTATTTATTTATTGTTGGGGTTATTTAAATCATATATGCACCGGTGGTGTGTTTGGCAAAAACAGAAGCACATATGTTCTGGTGTTTGTACAAGAGTCCAAACAGAGTCGAAGATCCAAACAAGCCCTGGCCAATTATTCTCTGGTTGCAGGGTGGGCCTGTAAGTGATCATGCCTATCATTAATATCATACGAGTATTAACTAAACAATTACCTAGAGTATTGTGCTTCTAAATTAATTATTTTTTTCTTTTATATTTCATTTGTTCCACATAAATCTTCTCGTGTTAGCTTTTTGTAGTTTGTAAAGAGTGTTGAAAAAGTGTAATTTACTCCCATAATTATGGTCAGTGGCAGATCTACATGCATGAATATGGGGACAGTCGCCCGCAATCAACTTTTTTTACTCGTAATTAAAATAATTCTTTTTTCAGAAAATTAAAAGAACGAACCTGGTAAAAAATTTAGTTTGCCTCCACTAACAATAGAAAATCTTAGTTTAAAAGTAAAAACTAATCACTTAACCAGATATATTGGTAAAATATTTGAAATATCATAATTATATTATTATGTTATGATAAATTTTACGGAGTATATTTTATTATTCTACTTTAAAAAAACTTTTTTCTTATTTGAATACTTGCTTGAAATTAAATTTATTTTGTTTATCAAACGCTTTAAAAAAATTGGGAGCGCTACCCCTGAACCCCAACCATACTCTTTAGTGTGCGTTTGCCCCCAGTCATATTTTTTTATGGATCTGCCACTAATTATGGTATTTTAATGTTAAAAGAAGCTAGAGAAGCAGTTACTCTCCTCTCCCCACCTTCTATGTTCTTGATATTCCCTGCCCCCGTGTTTCCAAAATCACTCTTACCAAAGCCCATAAGAACCTCCCGGAGGGCTATGTTCTTGAATAAGATGAAAACTGGTCCATTGTGGAAAAGCGCGTTAGTGCTTCATTTTTCCTTTTTGAACATTTGAAATTAAAACTATCCTTATTATTCATTCAAAAAAATATTCTGCTTATTACACTTTGTACTTGGTAAACAAATGAATAATGATTGTGAATTATAGAACCCCATCCACTTTTAATGTTGTCAGTTGTCACTAATGAACGACAAGTTGAGTCAAAGACTTTTTTTTTGTTATTTTACTCCCTTTACTTCATTTTGATGACGTTTGAAAAGTGGGCAAAATAGTCCAAATGGAGGGATTATTGTATTGTCTATTGTGTTTTCCCCTTATTGCCTATTTAAACTTTACATTTTCACTTACAATGTATGATTAAAATTATGGATGGGAGTATTAATTTTTTAATCAACTTATTCACGTATTCATGAGTAACAAAAAAAGTTATACGGAGTATTTAAATAATTAAAAAAAATACTATTTTCTCTAATTGGGAAAGATTTTCACTATATTATGCACATGATCAAATTTTACTCATCGGTCAAAAAAGATTTACTCACTTTAATTGCTTATTTTTTCAGCACTCATTTCATAAAATAGTATAGTCGATCATGTCATATCTTGTTTTGTAAAAATTTTTATGTAGCTTTTTCAAATATAAATTTTATTTTTTAGTTTTACACCTAAAGTCAAATAAACTAAATTGAAAATAAAATCGGTAGAACCTTGTAATGCGTAATACAAAACTCTATCCCTGGTAGAAGGAGTATAAAATAAGAAGTGAAAAAAACTACATTATTTTTTACCTGGGTAGAAGTAGTATTGTATTATAACAATCAATTAATATATAAATTGATCACGTGAAAAGTAAAAGTAACATGTATTTAAGGGCAGAAATGGTAAAAGTTAGCATGTTTCCTGAAATTTATTTTTGTTGAAATCAGATTTGGTTAGAAATTATTTTAAATATAACTAGAAGCAGATCATACATCAGAATATAACAGATCATATTAGACGATCGACTTTTAATCAAATTATATCAAGTTCGATCCAATCAAATTAGACGAAGAAAATATGCTCTTAATTGTTTGTTTAACTTAAACTGAGACATTTGATCAACTTGTATGAAGTATTTTCACCAACAAATTAGGAATTAAAAAATTAAAACAGAAATGCAGAACATCTTTTATTTTGGGATAGAAGCATATAATTTACTTACAAGAGTAATGTTAGAGCCACAAATAAAGCACTCACAAAATGTATAAATTTATCATTTGTGAATTTTAGTATTCATTTTTTTTAATTATTTGAGACCATTATTTTAATTCATTACTTTACATATTCGGCAAATTTATAAATTTTGTTGATGTTTTATTAGTGTCTCGCTCTAGGATTATGGTGTTATGGTGGTAAAAAATTTATTGCACTGTATTTACATTAATCATAGTGCTTCTTGTATTAATTTAGGGAGCTTCTGGAGTTGGAATTGGCAATTTTCTAGAGATAGGTCCTCAAGATGTTAATTTGAGGCCTAGAACTTCTACTTGGTTGGCAAAAGCAGATCTACTATTTGTGGTAGGCTTCTTTATATATACTTTACCAAGAGTAATTCTTTTTTTTTTTTTGAAGGACCAAGATTAAAGATTTATCTAATTAACGGGAAAAAAAATCAAATGTGAGTTGTGCTACAGTACTACGTGACACAACACCTTGTTTGTGGTATTATTTGTGGGTATTAATTCTCAAGATGCTGCTTTCTAGTAAAGTGTTTTTCCAAGTTAATCTTCAATAAGTAATAATTTTCAATGTGGTTCTTTGTAATTAAGATGTAAAATATCTATTAGATATCAGTCAATAGAATCTTTTTTGGCATTTTCTATCATCTAGACTTAAAGTATGTTATAAAATTTTTTTATAATTAAGTATTTTTTCAAACAGATAATTTCTAAGTAAATATTTTCTCGAAATGGAGTCCATTAGCCTACTCAAGGTGGATCTGTTCCTCTACCAGCCACTCACTTAATTCGTAAGGATTATTTTGAGAATTTATTCATAATTTAGATGATGAAAAATATAAAAGTACTCTTTAGTTAAGTGTCATTTAATAGTCATTTTATTATATACTCCGTACTACGTAGGACTCAGGCCCGCCCATAAGCAAGGGCATTAAGTTCACTCGCACAGGGCCTCCAATATATAAGGGTCCATTTTTAATTTTATCTTTAGCTCAATACTAGATTGTTACTCAAGCCCAATAATTAATAACCAAGGACTATTCCATATTCCGCCTCATCGATTCCTCCGCGGCATCCCCTAGTCCAACGCAACGTTCCTTGGCTTCAACGCTAAATTGCCGTTCTTCCTCCTTTAATATGTTGTGTTCATTTGCACATCTCTATGCTTTGTATTTGAACATTTAATCTGACTCCTCAATTCCTTCTCCTCTGGAGTGGTGAGTTCTTGATTTTTATGCTTTTGTTTTTTTTCTAATTCAATTTATTTTTTGTCAAAGGCACTCCTCAATCGCATGACTTATACTTTTAGATTTTTATTCTTTTTATTGTTAATGATCAACTGGGTTGTTATTGATCAACCATTAATTACCCTAATTGATTTTCATTGCCCACTCTTTTTAACCTATTTTGATGTGTTTCGTGGTTTTACCGTTCTAAAAATTGATTTTTGAAAGAATATGTTTTCCCTGGAATGAACAAAGAAAAAAATAAGAAATTACAATTTCAGTTTTAGATTACTCGGTATTTACTGGGCGCTATTTTTTTATGCATTAAAAACTATTTTTTGTTGCCTTTTTACAGCTTTTACTTTGTAGACATTACATTTTCATTGTAAAAAGAAATGCTAGTTACAAACAAAGAGTTCACAAAATTTATAAATGTGTTTTTTGTAATTTTAATTTTATACGAGTATATGTTTAATTATTTGAGTGCATCTTGTTCATATTGACTAGTGAACACACTATAGCATTTCTAATTTGTAAATAGTTTTGAACTTAAAGGCAAACCAAAATATCTCAATTGTGTTTTTTGCACCAATATTTTAATTTAGCATTGTTTGAATACTTATCTAAGTGTGTTAAATTGATTTAATATGTGATTTTTGCATTTATGATTAAATTTTTTTCGTTGAATTATTTCTTTTTATCTCAGGGCCTTAAGTTTTCATTTGTACAGGGCCTTCTAAAATGATTGGGCGGGCCTGGACTAGGACTATTTATTTGGGAATACACCTCAATTACAAATGATCATGTTGATAATTATTATTTATTGAAGACTAATTTACAAAAAAAAAAACTTATTAGAAAGGACCGTTTTGAAAATTTACTCTATTTTCGGAGAGTCCATTAATTTAAGGTCCGTCAAGGGAAATACTTTCTAAAAAGTGGTAGAAAATATTCTTTAAAGAAATATTGTCTCCTAAAGATAGGAAAATATTTTCCGTTTACTAATGAAGGAATTCATGCATTTTCTTGCGGACATTCCACGCCTTCATTTCCTACTTAGTCTTCGAGTCCCTAATTTCACGAATAAAATAACGAGCTCCTACCTGAATTTATTTTTTATTTTTTATTTTTATTTATTTGTTTATTTTATAAGAAATTACTCTATAACGAATCATATAAAACTAACTTAAATTAACTATATTTATTTAAATAAACAAAAGACTATAACAAAGTATATTTTTTATTTAAATTATATTATAAGTTACTAAATAAATAAGTAATAATAATAATAAATAAATATGAATAATAAATAAAGAAATTTTCATCAATCTCGCCACTCATTAATGATAACTTAAGTTTAATTTTCTGTATAAAATAATAAAGTATAAATAAATAAAAAATATTATGTGAATTATATTAATTAAATTTTTTTAAGTGAATTACATTAATTATTTTAATTTTTTTATTTGAATAAAAATATTATGTGAATTTTCATCAAACCCGCTCATTAATGATTACTTAAGTTTTTTATTTATATTTATATTCATATTTATATTTATTATTTCTATATTTATTATATGAATTACTCTATATGGATTAATTAATTTTCTTATTCAATAATTTTTATTTATATACTATATTTAAATATTTACACCATATTTACTTTAAACTTTTTATTGACGTATTTATTATTTCTTTTTATATTTATATTTTAATCTGATAATTTTATATTTATTTACTTTGTGTTTATACATTTATTTATTTCACTTATTTATATATTATTTATATTTACTTATTTGTTTTTTATTTTATTATTTTAAAATTTTATATATACGGAGTATAATCTTTTGGTGGGTGTAGGATTCCCCGGTGGGAACAGGGTACAGTTACGTGGAAGATGAGACATTATTGGTGAAGACGGACGAGGAGGCCGTGAAGGACTTGACAAAACTGCTCATACAAGTTTTCAATAACAACAACAACTTGACCACTCTTTCTTCATCAAACGCCATCTTACACATAATTGGGGAGTCTTATGGAGGAAGGTTAGGCGCCAGCCTTGCACTGTCCGCTCTCAATGCCACTCTTGCCGGAGACTTGAAACTCAAACTTGGGGGTAATTTTGAAGTTACTTAAATAGTACTAAAAAATAATGATTTTCTTTAAATAGTACTACATGTGTTTTTTTCCTAATGTAGCACTTTTAGTCATTATGCATTAGTCATTATTCAAGTAAATATTCGCCATCACTGGACATTATAGACATTATTAAGTGCTATTTAAGAAATAAAACAATTTAAGTGCTATTTAGAGAAATAACTTAAGTTTTAGTGCTATTTATAGTATTTAGTGCAAATATTTCAATTTTTTTTAATACTTCTTTCAAGTTGTTGCTTTTTCTTTTTCATTCAAGCTCCTCACACTTAAGGATATTATTAATTTATTAGTCGGCCCGGTTCCAGTGCCACTAGAATCCGGTGCCACTGACATTTTGGGGCACCTCCGGTGCTCCGTTTGCAAAATTGACGGTTCCTACCCCCCCTATCCCACCCCCTAAACCCCCCNCCACAAAATGTGTGGCTTTTATGCAACGCATAATAGCCACACATTTTGTGGGGGGCTTACGGCGGGGTTGGGGTGGGGGTGCAGGGGCGGGGGTAGGGTGGGGGGTTTAGCAGGTGGGTTAGGGGGGGTAAGAATCGTCAATTTTACGAACGGAGCACCGGAGGTGCCCCAAAATGCCAGTGACACCGCTAGTGGCACCGGATTCCAGTGGCACTGGAACCCCATCCTTTATTAGTATTTTTCTTTTGGCAATGCGGCTCTCAATGCCACTCTCCTTGTTGTACTGTTTTTTCTTAGGAGTGACATTAGGGAGCACTTGGACCTCACCTGAAGATTCTGTGGTACGTGACATTATAATTAAAATTGATACGGAGTACACCATTTATTTAATATTAAGATCAGATAAATACTCGGTATTTATTTATAATTAATTTTTGAAATTTATCTTAGAGTTAAAAATGGTGTTAGTCTGTGTAAAATAGACGATATTCCTTTTTTGTCTCTGTAATTTTTTTGTTAATTCATCCTTGCAAATAATTTTATTTTGAAAATGGTTCTTAAAATAAGATTTTTTGAGATAGTAGATTTATTTCGTACTCAATGTTCTAGTCTTGTATTTCTACTGCTTCCGCCCACACAATTCTCATGTCCTAAATTTTGTCTTTTGTCATATTAATTACATCTCCAATTCCCATTTTTTAGAATATAATATAATAAAATTTGGGAATTAAGGATATAGCTCGATGAACGATACAATTGAATTGTGTGTCTGAGCTAATTAGAAATACAAGATACGAATGCCGAGTATGAAATAATTGTCGTACCTCAACAAATTAGAAGTGATAACTAATTGGAAATAGTTAAAGGATTTTTATCTAGAATCTGGAAAGCATATGAAATTGATGACATTTCATTCCTAAGGGAGGGACAATTTATTGTTAGATTCCATAAAGTAGAGGACATACCCATATGGATTCAGTTCCCTGATTTGGAGATGAAATATTGGAGTCTCTCAGCATTAAGCAAATTGGGCAGTGCTATTGGACAACCAATCAGGAGGGATAGGACAAAAGCTTCAAGAGTCAAATGGTCCTATGCCCGTATTCAAGTTGAAGTCCAGATTAACCAAACATTTCCTGATCAAATTAATTTCCTGAATGAAGAGGGAACCCAGAAGATAGAGTATGAATGGGCTCCCACTGTTTGCTCACACTGTAATAGAATTGGCCATGTGTTCGAGATGTGTAGAAAGAGAAATACTGAAAACACAAAGGGTACAGGAGGAAAGAAAATTTGGAGACCTAAAACCACACCACAGGGGTCAAGGATGAAGCAGCACCACCCTCCAAACCCTAGAGAACTGAAACAGAAAAGAAAGATAATAAGAGAGATAGGGAAAATGTAGAGGCAAAGAATCATGAGAACTCTGATGCTGACTCTGGATTCCTTGAGATTTCAAAGAAAAAAGCTGCGAGGAGGAGATCTTTGGAAGGTACAGAAGGTAATTATGTGGGGAATATACATAAGGATCTGATGACTGTCCCATATAAGGGACACTACCCTTTCTTATTATGATTGGTTGTTGGAATATTAAAAGGCTTAACAGCCCTAATAAACAAGCTGAAGTTAGAAATATAATAAATAAGTATAAGTTAGCTATCTTTGGTATTTTAGAGACTAAAATAAAGGATAGCAAATTTAAAGATATGGAGAACAGAGTTTGTAGAGGATGGGGTCTTTCATCAATAATCAAGCCCATCCCCTGGGTAGGGTTTGGGTTATTTGGGACCAAACAAAGCTTGATGTTAAGATCTTGGAGCATACATATCAGATTGTACACTGCCAAGTCAGAGAGTTTGGAGTCAATAAAATGGGACACCTAACCTTTGTCTATGACCATAATGAATCCAACAAAAGGAGGGAATTATGGGAGAGCTTACAAAGGCTAGCTACCTCTGCCCCTTGGTGTGTTTTAGGGGATTTTAATACAGTTCTGAAACAGGATGAAACAATTGGTGGCAATCCTGTTAGTTGGGAGGAAGTGAGACCGTTCCAAGAATGTCTAAATTTGTGTGGATTAGAAGATCTACCATTTGAAGGACCCAGATTCACATGGACAAATAACCAAGATTATGATAAGTTCATCTACTCCAAACTAGACAGAGCCTTGGGGAATATTAACTGGATGTGCAATTTTGATTACAAGGTGTACTTTAAAGAAAGTGGAATCTCAGATCATTCTCCCATGATAATACAGAAACTGGAACAATTTAAATCTAGACATCACTTCAAATTTTGTGACATGTGGACCCTAGATCCCCAATTCCCTCTTCTAGTGGCTGATGTTTGGGACCAGGAACACAAAGGTTATCCTATGTACAAAGTTATTCAAAAATTAAAGCAGATCAAAGGCCCCCTGAAGAAACTGAACAAAAGTAAGTTCCAAAATTTGGATTCCCAAATTGATCAAATTAGAACTACACTGCACATTGTTCAGTCAGATTAGAGGGCAAACAGTTCTGACACAAATTTGGCAAAATTTGAGAAAGAGTTGACTCAGGAGCTACACCAAAAACTCAGAGCTAGCTTCCTCATGAAATGTCAACAATCAAAGGCAGACCGGATCACATATGGGGATCAAGATACTAAGCTTTTCCATGCTTGGGTGAAGAAAAGGAGAGCCCAAACTCATCTTACTGTAATTGCTAAAGAGGATGGAGAAGTAGTGGAGGGGAAAACCAAAGTGGCAAAAGTACTAGTAGAGTTCTATCAAAATCAACTAGGGAGGACAATGGAGACTGAGGATATTAACCCGAACATTATCTCTATGGGTAATACACCATCAATTGATCAGCAGTTGACCTTGATTGCTCCTATAACCCCTGATGAGATAAAGACTAGTCTGTTTGAGAATTCTAATAATAAAAGCCCAGGCCCAGATGGTTTTAGCAGTGGATTCTTTAAAAACCAATGGAAGAAGGTGGGGGGTCTAATCACACAAGCAATACTTGACTTCTTTCATAAAGAAGATACCCTCAAGCAAATCAACTCTACAAATATTGTTGTTATCCCGAAGAATGAGGATCCTTAAAGCCCATATGACCTCAGACCCATTGCTTGCTGCAACGTAATTTATAAAATCATCTCTAAGATCTTGTGCAACAGACTTAAAAACATCCTGCCACAGATAGTGAATCTGAACCAAAGGGGCTTTCATACAGGGGAGAGAGCTAGTCCATAACGTACTACTATGTCAGGAACTAGCAAGAGGATACAACACGAAAGGCATATCCCCTAGGTGTTTGATGAAACTGGATCTTTGAAAAGCATATGACAATGTAAGCTGGAAGGCTATAGATCAAATCCTGAAACTACTAAAATTCCCTTCAAAGTTTGTCAACTGGATCAATTACTGTGTGACCTCCACTACTTATTCTATTCAATATGAAGGTGAGTGTTTTGGCTTTTTTAAGGGAGGGAAGGGGATAAGACAGGGTGACCCCATATCCCCTATCCTATTTGTCCTTATTATGGAGTATCTTATCAGATCATTACAATTTTTTGTGGCTAAAGAGAGATTTGGTTACCATCCCCTCTGCAAATCTCTGAAGTTTGTTAACATTATCTTTGCTAATGATCTAATCGTAGCTTGCAAGGCTGATGAGAGCTCTCTTAAATGTATTTTGATGGCCCTGGAACATTTCAAACACACTGCTGGTCTTTCTGTCAACCCTTCAAATCAGAGATCATTTTTGGTGGAATAAACAAACAGCAGGAGAACAGGTTTCTTCATCTAACCAACATGAGAAAAGGCTTTTTCCCCTTCAGGTATCTTGGAAGCCCTATTACCTCCTCCAGGATCAGTGCTAAAGAATGTGAAGCACTCACTGAGAAGTTAACTACTAAACTGACAGTTTGGACTTCTAAGAACCTTTCTTATGCAGGAAAGGTAAAACTAATTAACTCTGTCCTTTATGGGATTATTGGTTTCTGGAGTAGATTGTTTATTATCCCTTCCATGGTTATGAAGAAGATCGAGTCCCTGTGTAGAAATTTCCTATGGGGATCTTCTCAAAATCAGAGAAGAACTCCCTTAGTTGCTTTGGACGACCTTTGTCTACCAAAGCAATATGGGGGTCTCGGCCTTAAAAATCTGGTGTATTATAATAAAGCTAGCGTTATGAAAATGGTGTGGGACATCGCATTGGAAAAGGAGATCTTGTGGATCAAATGGATCCATAATAGGTACCTAAAAAACAGTGATATATGGGAATGCCAAATCAAGACGGATGACTGCTTCTATTGGAAGAAAATACTACAAACAAGAGATTGCTTTGTGGAGATGGGTAGATCTAGCCCCTATACTACTGAGGCTGGATATCAATGGCTATTGGGCCAAAGGCTGAAACCAGGCTGGACTGGCTTGGTTTGGAATAGGCTCTCACTTCCAAAACATAAGTTCATTCTATGGCTCACCTGCAAGGATAAGCTTCTGACCAAAGACAGATTGAGGAGGTTTTATCCTATTGACACTCAATTCCCTCTATTCCATTCACCCATAGCCAAAATACACTTCACAATCCCAACATAAACACCCACAAAGAGCCAAAACCCTGACCCACCACTAGCCACTCATTCTTGCCCATGTTCCCTCACAAATAACCCAAAGCTATAAGTCCAAAACCAGCCATTATATCCCCCATCCCTGACCCCTTTTCTTAGCAAACACAACCCCTCATATTTACCCAAATAATAGCCTTAAAACCCAGGAAACAACCACTACAAACCAAAGCTCAAAACCCCCACAACACCAGCCCCATCCTTGAATTTTATCCCACTAAGGAGACAGGATTGAATGGAGAATGCCCCGTGCTTTTGAAGTGGATGTTGCTAGGAAACTTCCTCTTATTCACATTCAATGTATAGTGTATGTTTTCCCCCTTCCCCTGCCTATATAATCAGGCCATATGGCCATTGTAACACCACCCTTGAATATTAAAACTCCCTTTTACTCTTTGAGTATTTATAAAATAGTGTGATGCTATTTTAGCCAAATTCCTAATTCTATATCTTAAGAGTGATTATCTTAAGTGTGAGTTTTAGGTTCTAGATATTTTATTAAGTGTGTCATATCTTAATTAAATTCTAGATTCAAACCCCAAGTTAGGATAAGAGTGTGTAATATCTCTTAAACACCAATGTGGTTTATCCATCCCTGATTTTCTCCCATTTCATACCTCCCCATTTCTCCTCTTAATCTTACTCTTTTCTTCCATTAAAATACCCAAAAGAACTCCCTCATCATCTCCAGAAATCCTAGCCAAACCCACACAAGCACCACTATCTTTCCACCCAGATTTTGGATCCTGACTGCCTTGATAATCGACTATCAAACAAGATAATCGATTATCTTCCCCTCCTGGATTCCCTTGGAATAAGCTGCGAGCCCAAATAATCGATTATCATATATTGATAATTGACTATCCCCTTTCCCTGAAGTTTCTGGGTTTTAGCCGCACAGCTCCACAATCGATTATCACCTAGCCATAATCGATTATCACCTGCTCCTAAACTTTGAACCCAAAGCTGCACCATCCCTTGATTCCTCCTTAAAATAACAACTCGTTTAGACCCCCGGTTCGGGTATAACATTTGGTATCAGAGCTTTGTGTTGAACATCCCTAAGGGATCATCTTTACATGCCTCCCTCATGTCTTTTGTTACTATCAACCATACACTCTTCAATCCATTTATCCACCATGTCAAGCTCTTCTCAAAACATGTTTCAAGGTGAATTAGCTGCTGCCCAGGAGAGACTAAAGAAGGAAGTTGAGCTTATGATGAAACAAATCAAGGAGCTCACTAATTCAGTAGAGATTCCCACGTTTAAGGGAAGAAACGACCCAGAGGAAGTTGAGCTTATGATGAAACAAATCAAGGAGCTCACTAATTCAGTAGAGATTCCCACGTTTGAGGGAAGAAACGACCCGGAGAAATTTTCAAAGTGGTTAGCAAAAGTTGAAGACATCTTTATACTCAAAGACGTACCCGAAGACAAGAGGGTCAAGCTAGTGGTGGCAAAGTTTCAAAGACATGCCTCTACTTGGTGGGCTAGCGTTGCTTCAAAACGAAAGCTCCAAGCCATGGTCATACCCCCACCAAAAATCTGCCCATCTATTCCAAAGAAACCCCATTTCTTCCACTCACAAAAGATTGGTCATCATGCTTTTGAGTGTCCAAGTAAAAATCAAAAGTCCTTGGTCCAAAGTGAAGAGAAATCAGAGCTTTTGGGACGAAAGGAAGGACAGGATGATGTTAAATCTCTAGGCCAAGATAAAGGTGAACTTGTGGTCATTACAAGACCATTGAGTAGTTTGGTTGATCAAAATAAACTTGGAATCAAACCCCTCTTGAAATCTTGTTCCATCGAATGGCTCAACCACGGAAGAGAACTACGAGTGGAATTGCGTAGTTTTTCTTTATTTCATATTGACAAGCCATTGACACCTAATTTTGTGGATATGCATTTATTGAGAAAAGGTTCGCCGACATGCCTATTCCTACCCCTAATCGATTATCACCTGCTCCTAAACTTTGAACCCAAAGCTGCACCATCCCTTGATTCCTCCTTAAAATAACAACTCGTTTAGACCCCCAGTTCAGGTATAACAAATATGTAGAATAAAATAAGAACAAAATGAAGAAGAAGAAGAAGAAGAAGAAGAAGAAGAAGAAAAAGAAGAAGAAGAAGAAGAAGAAGAAGAAGAAGAACTTAACAAAAAATAGAGATTAACGGAGAAAGAGACAGAATGCCACTCCAGAGTAACTTTTTTGATATTTTAAGGTACCCCGGAGTACATTTTAAAAAATAATGGGACCTGACAGTTCTGGTCACAAAATCTAGGGTACCCCGCACTAATTTTTTCTTTTTCCATAAGGTAAGTTCGATATTCCTAATTTAAACATCCATGGGGGAGTAGAATTCCTTATAAGTAAAACCAAATACCCAATGGATATTAAATCTATTGGATAGATGAAATGGAGTTACAAGGTGTATATATAAGGGCAAGTTATTTGTAGATTCAATGTTGTTGATCTAATTACTTACCCGTAATCCAAAGATCCAAGTCTTTTGAAGACTTGATATACCTCAACATAGGGAATGCATAAGAATCGTTCATTATGCAACTACCTTTGGACCTATCATGAATATCATGATAAAGACCGAAAATGTTCTACTCTAAATGTTATGAGTAGATAACATGCTAAGTCAGTGACTGTCACTACATAGCAAAAGGAGCATCCTTAAGGTATTACGACATACAACCAAACGATGGTGCTATATGAAATGAAGAAATCATCTTGTGTGATTTCCACATACGTACACATCGCAGAAAGGTTACATATTTTGAATAGTAGTAAAATAAGCTAAAGGAGCATGATGACACTACTAAAGTTCAAGTGTAGAATTATAGTACATAGAAGCTTTTGAAGCAACTGAGCAAGGTGTTTGGGTCGAGAGCTATGAGCTTAAAATGGTTCTTAGTATGAAGATACCATCCGTTGTAATGACAACAATGGATCATCACATGCCAATGAACCACGGTCTCACCAAGACTAAACACGACACCAGAAGTAATCACTTAGATTATATAATGTAAAGATTAGCAAAATAGAAATAGATGAGAATCTATAAATCCATTGATCTAGGCTTTGGGAAAACCTAGACACGAGGGTCACGCTTTGTGCATGGGCATTTATGAAATTCATAATTGGCCTTAGTGCTAGTGGGAGATTTTTGAATATAAGTGAGCCCTAGAGACCAACTTATGATTCCACATCTGTATTATATCGAGAAAAATAGGCCATTAAGATTGTTTAAGTCGTCTCGTGTGATTTAAACATAGCTTTAGTCCATAGAGTAGGCACTCTAGTAATATAGATGAGAACTACAACGTTCTGATGATGAGTGTAACACCTCGGCCCCCACCCTAGCCGTAAGTATTGGCTCATAAGATTGTAGACTGGCCCCACAAACCAACACTAGTCTTTCTCGCGCACTTTGTCCTCACTCGTGCGCGCCCAAGAAACTTTCCAGGGGGTCACCCATCCTAGAATTGCTCCAAGTGAAGCACGCTTAACTTTGAAGTTTCTAAGTGATGAGCTCTTGAAAAGAAGATGCACCTTGTTGGTATAAGTAGTACTATCAATCTTTTTGAACTCTTCCAATTTTCCATCTTAATACGGGGTATTACATTCACCCCCACTTAGGAATGCAACGTCCTCGTTGCATCCTTTTCTTAAACCCTTAGATCTTCCCTGCTAGGTGAACTAAGCTCTTTTGGCCTGTCACGGTCGCAGGCTTGCTCTGATACCATTTGTAACACCTCGGCCCCCACCCTAGCTGTAATTTTCCACTCATAAGATTGTAGACTGGCCGCACAAACCAACACAAGTCTTTCCCGCACACTTTGTCCTCACTCGTGCACGCCCAAGAAACTTTCTAGGGGGTCACCTATCCTAGAATTTCTCCAAGTCAAGCACGCTTAACTTTGAAGTTTCTAAGTGATGAGCACTCGAATAAAAGATTCACCTTGTTGGTTTGAGTAGTACTATCAATCTTTTTGAACTCTTCCTATGTTCTATCTTAATACAGGGTATTACAATGAGGCTGTTACAAAGATAGAGGCTGCATCTTAAATATCCTTAGTCGAATATTATGATAATAAGGACATCAATAATATCAAGACTATTACGTATGAGATGAGATAGCTGCGCCTCATAGGATATAGATAAAGTGTTATCTGAATCTATACGTAGGCAAACATATTGGATATGTTGCTGGATTAACCCGCTATGAGGATAAAATATGGGTTTGAGTTAAAGTGTTAATATTATTCTCATGTGACCATTAGTATAACTATCCTTCGACTTGAAGTCATTACGATCTTTTGTAAGTTGAGTTGCATACTTTGAAGCATGATTTATGCCATCTGAAATATTGATGGATGTACAATTATGTTTTGGGTATGCAATGAAACTTAAGTGAATATGTGAATGACATAGATAGAATTTATGTAACACCCCAATTCGTATAACCCAGAATTATAGGAATTAAGGTGAAACGGGAGAAATATTTTTAAAACTTTTCCAAATCATTAAATAAAATTCATAAAACAAAACTTCAAATACAAAATACTAAATTCGGATCGATCCTTTTTCAAAATGTCGGAGATAGCGGAAGACTTAAAATAATACAAATACAATGATGTGGGTCAAACCCAAAACTTCAAATGTAATGCTTGTGAAAATCATGCATGTCAACCTTCCATCCTATCGTCTCTTTGTCCACTGGGTGGTTCACATAATCTATGCTTCAACCTACGTGTAGACAAAAAGACTACATGCTCCGCATAAGGCTGAGTGGTACGATAACGCGAGAGATTGATAACATATTTGTACTTAAATACCATGCATCACATTGGCCACATAATTTTCATGGTTGCATAGTAGATAGAACAAGATACAAGATACACATATACATATCATGGAGATTGGTTTTGGAATATTATCCAAATATAAATACCTTGTCCTTGTCGTCGACGTTGTTGGATATGAAGTGCAGTATGTTTTGCAATACCATATACAAATTGATAATTAAGATTTGTATAATTACTTTCAAACGATGCAATGTCAAATGATTCATGATGCATGAGTTAGAGTGCGTAGGGACCCCCTGCCCTTCGGTGATCATCCCCGCGCGGTGATGAGTCGAGGAAACTGTTAGAATAAGTGACCAACGCTAGAGGGGGGGTGAATAGTGTTTGATCGTAGAAATCGCAGGAATAAAAAATTAAGAACGTGAAACGTAAAGAGCGTAGAACGCGTAAAGGGAGCACACCAATTGATTCATAGACTGTCGATGGTGACATTTGATGTGCCGATTGATTCATAGATGGCATCGGCCTTGGATCGCCATTCGGATGTCAAGCTCCGTAGGATCTTTCGCACAAGATCCCTGTCGGTGTATGTCTTCTTTAATGCATGGAGATCATTGACTATCTTGGAAAAACGGTCGAACATGTCGTCGATCTTCTCGTGCTCCTTCATCCTGAACATCTCATATTCTTGGGTGAGGAAGTCAATCTTGGCTTCACGTACTTGGTCCGTTCCTTCGTACGTCACCTCAAGTTTGTCCCACATCTCCTTGGCGGTTGAGCAGCAGGAGATCTTGCGGTAGTCATCAGGATTTACGGCACAATAAAGCATATTTAT